TTTAAGCCCACCCTGGGCAACTTTTACTGACTCTATCTCAAAATAAGAAGGGCTGAAAAAATAAATAAATAAAATTTCTTTTAAAAAAAATAAATAAATAAGAAGGGCTGGAAATATAGCTCAGCACTCCCTGGATTCAATCCCCAGTACCACAAAAACAAAAACAGACCAAATCATAGTGGGAACAGATAGTTGGATAACATCCTGACTTGTGTGCACTAGTGCACATAGGAGGACAGAGGTGGAGAAAAAAGGCTCAACGATGGGAGAGAATGGAGATGAACTCCAGGAGAGGTGAGACAAGATGAGCGATGAACTGATAGCTCCGCAAGCTGTGGCGGGGACCGTGAACACCTAAATTTATTCTGGTTACTCACACAACTTTATGTTTTTTTCCCACCTCCGTTTTTTTCCAATACCGGGAATCAAACTCATGACCTTGCGCTTGCCAGGCAGGTGCTGTGCCACTGAGCTAAATCCCCAGCCCCACTCACACACCTTTAAAAGGTTTCATATTTTAAGACTGATCTCACAGAAGTGGAGAGTAGACCAGTGGTTAACAGACTGTAGAAAGTGCAGCAGGAAGGAGAGATGGGGAAAGACTGGTCAATGGATACCAAGTTATAGTTAGACCAGAGCACCAAGTTCTGTGTAAACAGGCACATGGCCAACTGCACGCCAACCTGACCCAATCCCTCAGGCAGTGGCCACCATGTGCTGCCTGCAGCCAGGAGCAGCTGACATCTACAGCCTGAGGACTGAGAGGCAGTCATGGGCTCTGATGGCTGACATGTGAGCAGGTCCCCAGACAGTTAAAACAGTCAGCAAACTTGTCCTGTGAAGCGGAAAAGACCAAATATTTTCAGCTCCACAGGTCACATGGTCTACCACAATCACTTGCAGCATAAAAAAAACCCTGGATAGGTGACATGGCCATGTCCCAGTAAAGCATTATACATACAGGCAACGGGTGAAGAGGTTTCTCCAAGCACGTAGCCCCACTAACACAAACCGACTCAAGAAACCGACTCAAAGAAATGACAACGGACCCCTACCCTGCAGCTCTCCCGCCAAGAAAGCAGAGCTGATGAAGCAGGATGTTCTCACACATGGCTGCAATCAAGGTCCTTCCCTCTAGAGGAAGAGCTGAGAGTGCAGCTCCTATGGCTTCAAGCTAAATGTTTCCCAAGTGTCCTGTGTTTGGGCTTTTGGAAGGTGATCAGATGATGAGAGCACTGTTCTTGTCAGTGCTTTCATCCTCTGATGGGCTTAGAGTTGAATGTGCGGTCAAGAGGTGGGGCTTGGGCCGGGGACATAGCTCAGCGGTACAAGCACATAGCTTGCTTGACAAGCACAAGGTCCCGAGTTTGATTCCTGGTATCAAAAAAAAAGTCAGTGACCTTTAGGCCAGGAGTGGTGGTGTATGCCCGTAATCCCGGCACTCAGGAGGCTGAGGCAGGAGGATCATTGGGAGTTCAAGACCAGCCTGGGCTACAAAGTGAGCTCAAGGACAGCCTGAACTGCATAG